ACACACACACACACACACACACTCTATGTGAAGTGGATCAGGAGAATTGTAGTTACACAATAGACCTGAAGCTATGAGAGTGAAAAAAGTATTGTTTTAATGTTGCATTTTAAAGTCGCTGTTTTTCTGAATTTTGCAGTCTAGGAAAATTTGCATTGAGTTGGTATTTCCTGTTGACACAATATTAGATATATATATATATTTTACTAATGGCCGAATGTTCCTATTATGTACTCAACATACCGTTTTGCTTCCAATTTTAGGATTCCATCCTAATATACAATTTGGTCACCATAGGTCAGGGATCGGCAATCTTAAATAATTAAAAGAGTAACAAAGGTCCTAACCAGAAGACCCCTGTTTAATTCTGGAGCCGACTGGTTCCCGCACCATAGAGTCTCCTCCCAGCGCGGCATCCTTTTTCCTCTACCTGTCCTAACTGAAAGCCCTATCAATTGTGGAGCTGACAGGAAAACCCACCCCTTGCCATATAGTCTTGTCCTGGTGCGCCATGCTCCACCCCCACCCCACCCCCAGAAGCTCCTCTCAAAATTGTGCTGACAGGAGCCACAGCAGAGTGATGAAAGAGCCACATGTGGCTCCAGAGCCACGGGTTGCAACCCCTGCCCTAGGTTTATAGCACTCATGGCAAACCTTTTTGTAAAGGCATGTCAAAATTGTGTGTGCGCACAGGTGCCCATGCCCGCAATGCAATGCGCCCGCCCACCTACGCATGCACGCGCGACGCCCCCTGAAGGCTTTCCTGAAGCTTGGAGAGGGAAAAAATGACTTCCAGCAGCCACCTGGAGGCCCTCTGGAAGCCAGAAATAGATAGTTTCTGAACTTCTGGTGGCCTATTGGCCTTGCTTTTCACCCTCCCAGGCTCCGGAGACTTTCCTGAAGCCTGGGGAGGGCGAAAACGGCCTCCACAGTCCCTCCGGAAGACCAAAAATCAGCTGGCCGGTGCGTGCATGGACGCTGGAGCTGACAGCTCTGTGTGTCACCTGTGGCAGGCCTGCCATAGTTTCCCCATCACTGGTTTATAGAGTTCCCATCATGACTACAAAGTAACAATCCACAAAAGTTAAATTCTGAAATAAATGTGTGTGGTGGTACTGTCTGAAAATTCCACTTCATTTGTTTCAGATCCAGCGGTTGGACTTGATGCTACTGATATTGAAAGAAATTTTCCAAATTTCCACCGTGAACTTTTTCAGCCTTTGAAACCGAGTTCTGACTTTGATATCTGCTCAACTCTTTCTCAGTGCAGAATATCTCACAGCAGCAAAGACTCAAGCAAGGTATTTTTTGTTAGGAATATAATCTAACGGTTGGGTTGGCAATATATCAATCATGTAACAATGTCGTACCTGTTTCTTTAAATCATACTGTAAAATGTGATTG